CCCCCCCCCCCCCCCGGTTCTAAGGTATAAATACACATTTTTTAACACAGAGTTGCAGGGCTATGGATCCAGCACAGGGACATATCCTACTGCCTCTGTGCTCTGTGGAATACTAAAATATGTAAAAACCTTGTTTGTGTTTATTTGCACTCACGGGGATGCCTGTACATAACAGGGCCTTCACATCATGTTCTCTTTGCTCTCCCTTACTATGTCTTCGTCACTTGATCAGGGTTCCAGTAGCATTTGTAATGGATGAAGAGTGGCTAGTACACTAGTGGGTTTTTTGTGGTAATAGATCAGTTGTGTGCGACCTCAAGAAACCAAATTTCACTTTTTGCTAAGTACAGACATTCAAAAAGCCTGAGGCAGAATCAGTCTGTTTTGAGGTTTTTTGTAAGTGGCATAGTTTAGATCAGCAGTGAGCAGAGCACATGTTCTCTCTTTGGTTGAGGGGCAAATTGTAGGGTTCTGCCATTTTTAAACCATCCTGTGTGCACCAAACTTCTGTTGTGTTACAGGTATAGACTGGTTTCCCATCACTTATACCGGTAAAAGTGTAATGTCTGTACATGGCCTTCAAGTTCATGCTTACAGTGCTGGGATAGCTATGGGATTATACCTAGTGATAATTATTTGGCATAAAATAATTAGTAGAATGTTATTTCTCTGTCCTTATAGAACAGTGTTTTCAAACTTTGAATTACAGTAAGGAATAATAATATAGCCAAATGATTCCTGGTAGTCATAAAGAAACTCACACAAACACACCTGGGTGTGAATTTTTTCAATGAATAATAAATGCATGAAAATGTTTTATAATTTTATTTTGGTTAACAAAAATAAAAATGGTGGAGGAAGGCCTATATCCAACACAAAAGAATGAAGGGGTTCATTCTCCCTTGGCTGAGAATCCCATGTTCAAGTCTCTCCTTTGCCTGAGGGGATTTGAACCCACATTTTTAAAGGGTCACCTGAGGTAGGGTAGCCTGCTGAATGTAAATGGAATAGACATTGTCAGTCTTCAGAACAATTGAAGATAGCCCCTGATTCTCAGTGTGACATGCTACACTTAAGTGTTCTAAAATAATTGATAAGACTGATGTCATGCCAGCAAGCATCACAGATATACAAGGTAAATTTCCATAGCTTAAGACCAACAGGCTCAAATTCATTCTTTTGTAACTCCACTACAACTTCTGTTGCCTATAAAGTCTGCTCCTCTCTCTCACATGAAAGCAGAATTCCATGGAGTTGCTTCAGAAATGAATATGCCTCTGTTCTGCTGATGGACACTGAACCTGCTCCCATTAAGACTTCTCTCAGCGTTGCTCCTCAGAGTCCCACTGAAAACAATGATCTCAAACTGTCTGTGAGGATGAACCATAAACGACCAGAAGCCTGCTTGCTTGTTCCTTCCAAACCTGTACTTTCCTGTGACCTGTTTTGAGACAAATAAAGTGATGAATATTATACAACATTGCTCTTACTGCTTTCTGATGTTTATGATGCTTGCAATATGGCAAAACAACCGAGTGCTTGAAGGCAATGACAGTATATGTAGCTGTCACCTGCCTGATGTACTGTGAAGACAATCATAAGGCTATGAAAAATAGGGTTTGAATCTAAGTATAATAGCATTTTCCTCCTCCTCCTCCTCCTCCTCCTTCAGTACAAAGGAAACTAAACAGCTATAATGGCTGGAATTTTTCAAAGGAACAGGTTGCCCAAAATCCATTGAATTTGAGTGGTCTTGGGTGCCTAATTCCCTTAGGTTCTATTGGAAAGCCTGCTTCTTGCCTCTTCAGCTTTCTCTTGTTTCTTGAATGGGGTCATGTAAATAGAATGTTTAATTTTTAATATTTAATTCACCGGATGTATAAAGCTAAACATCAATTATAATTTGCATGCTGTCAATAATAAGCAAGCAGTTTGATCTACCCTTGCACAGGTATTTGCATTTCTAGAAACTTGAATGATATCTAGACACTGAGTGAATGGAGGATGCAGTGGTTTAAGTCATTAGCCTAACCTTATGCTAAGACTAAAATGTAGGTTCAATTGCCTGGTCCATCAGGCAGAAGTCAGGTGTGACTTTGGGTAAGTTTGGCCTTTCTGTGGCTTCACAGGCATACTGTGTGAGGTATGCTGAGTATATTAAAGATTCAGATGTGCTCAGAAACTAAAGTAATGGGATACTTATCCAAGATAGATTGCTAAATGGAGGAATGTAGAATGATCAAAGATAAAATAATATCTTTTGAATATTTGCCTTTTGCAAATGTAGTTTGTTATGATTGTTGCTATGGGAAAAGAGTTGTTACTGGAGTGGCATATGGTATGTGGGTTCAGCTAGTGCAGTCAGAAATATTAGACCTATAAAGACAAGATCTAGAAGATGAAAGAGTTCTAAACATTAGTCTTCATCCTTTAGCTAAGTATAATGACATTGCTTATTTTTAGGTGTGTGATATTCATGACTGATATTAGCCTTTTTGTTTTCAGAATGGACTCAATGCTTTACACCTGGCTGCCAAAGAAGGCCATGTGGGACTGGTACAGGCGTTACTGGAAAAAGGGTCATCAGTGAATTCTGCTACAAAGGTATCTGTGTCCACATTTATACATTTTTACAGAACAAAAAAAAAATGATAGAAAAAAGGGAAGTATATATTTCCCCCACTTTTTTGAAAGACAGGGTAGATACTCAAGAAAATTATGCAACATAAAATATAATACAAAGAAAAATACCTTTTTGCTACATAAAGTGTTAATATTTAACCATAAACTCAGAACTGGGATAAATCAGTCTCTTTTCATTCACTTCCACCCAAATTTATAGATTCAATACAGAAATTACAAGTCTGAAATAACATGGCCTAGGTGTTAGAGAAGGTCAGGTCAGATGACTGTATCGTTCCTTTTGGCCTGAAAATCTGTGAATCTGTAAATTAGCTGAGGCTCATGGGGTAATAACAGAAGAAGAAGGTTGAAAACTATGTGCACTGTGGAAACGTTAATGTTTCATTCATAGGAAAGATGTTATTGTTTCCCTCATTATAGGGGCAGGGCATATAGCTGAAAATAGTAGGTGGTTTTAGAAAAGTGAATATGTATAAGTGCACCAGCTCTGCTGTATTTCAGGCCTTGTCTACTCAACGGCTTAGTGGAACTAATTTCTGCAGCAAGAACTCCTAATTTGTGTGGCAATGCTAAATCATGGCATTTCCAGGAAACATCTCATCCTCCCATATCCCAGCACACATTTGATTATGTCTGATACTGCTAATGTACACTTCATCTGTGACTAGCATCAGTTTAGGGAAAATGGTCCCCTGAGTCAACTGGTATTGTGGTGCGCCCACCCTCCTTCCCAAGTCAGGAGCTGTAGGCAGAGGCAGGCAGGCAGGTT